CTGACTGGCGGCTTTTCGTCAGCCACGAAAGTACTTTTGCAAGGGAGACTGATCCTATCCCAAGCTGCAAATCGTTTTTTAGGCTAACGTGGATGAACCCACCCCAAGCTCATTGGTTTCTGAGGCTGATGAGGACGAACCCTACCCCAAGCTCGTTGGTTCCTGAGGCTGATGTGGACGAACCCACCCCAAGCTCGTTGGTTCCTGAGGCTTACGTGGACGAATGCTCGTTGGTTCCTGAGGCTGACGAGGACGAGCCCTACCCCAAACTCATTCGTTTCTCCTGCCCAGAGGGTCCTCCACAATGGCGGCGGTGGTTAAAAGACGGCAGGTCAGGAGGGCGTGGATCATTTTCTTCGTGCATGAAACGGGTTACCATTTTGCAACATCCCACAGTGCGTGGAACTCGAGTTATGGTAGTTCGCGTGGCGAAACAGAGGCTGACTACGAAATTCCAGGAACACTTCGCGGGAGATTTCGCCGCACAGTTGATTTGGCGGACTAAACTGCGAAATCACACTCGCGAGAATGACAGTGAAATAGGGTTTCTGTGGGTCTGTGCCCAACAGAGAATGCTCTGTGGCATCCTAGTTCTTAGATCGGTGAGTCCTGAACGGATACGAGGCAATGCCGTCTCAGTACACCACATGGATGGAGCACGTGCAGCGGCGGAATCGGGAACGATGGGCAGTGGTGCAAGGCATGCGGGGAGGAAAGGGCTAGTAGGAGTAGCGCACTCTTGCCAGTATTTCAGCAGTCACCGTGAAGCAGACCGTAAAGCGTTTCCAGTTCACTCAGCTGTTTTATCTTTCCTGATATTCGTACGAGACTACCGTCATGGCTCGCCGTTTCGCCTCTCGGCCTTTTCACGGCGTCGTGCTGCTTCTCGTCGCCGTTGCGTCAATCACGCTCACGGCACGCTGTGCAGAGGCCGCCTCAATCTCCGTCGGCGGGTATACGCTGCTTTCCAATGGAACCGTTTTTTATTCCAGTGGAACCGTTGTGACTCCCACCAAGAACGCGGATGGGTCTCAAACTGTTGGAGGCTACACTATCTACAGTAACCGCACTCTCATTGGTCCTAACGGCGTGGTCTATGGTCAGCGCTCCGATGGTGGTACCCTCTTTGGCGGCACCGTTGTGTAGAGAAACGGGACCTTCACAGATGCGAGTGGGAATCCGGTTAAGCCTGTTCCTAACTCGGACGGCTCGGCGGCGACTATTGGAGACCTGACTCTGTATAATAATGGAACCATGATATCTGCCTCTACGGGCCTGATAGTGCAGCCTGCTGAAATTATCTCTACTACCACTGGCAAAGCTGCTTCCGCCTCTTCGATCAAGCTCGGTACAGTAAACTTGTACCGTACTCAGTTTTATGGCACCCACTTTTTTTTTGTGTTTTTTTTTTTTTTTTTTTTTTTTGTGTGTGTTTTTGTGTGTGTGTGTGTATGTTTTTTTTTTTTTGTGTTTTTGTGTGTGTGTGTGTGTGTGTGTGTGTGTGTGTGTTTTTTTTTTTTTTTTTTTTTTTTTCGTTTGTTTGCTTTTTGGCGTCTCCATTTCCCTCTTGTGACTGTAACGGAGTGGCTGAATGGATGTTTGTTGCTGTGCTTCGCTCTCTTTGGCAGGCTACATTGCCACTGCCGTCACCATGGCTGCTGGCTTTGCTTGGCTGCTTGCTTTGCTTGCGCGTTTTCTGGAAGGAAGGACAACGTTCCACTCAGAAATCACATCGTCCATTTTATGCAACACGGTTCGTGGGGAGGGGACAGACGAGTAGACATGTGGGTGCTAAGTAGACATGTGGGTTCTAAGTAAACATTTGAATGCTATTTACTATGGTTCTATGAAGTTTTATCATAACAAGGAACAAGGAAGAATAATCGAGGTGGCTGCCTTTGTTTGTGTGCAAGTGTACTTGAGGTTTATAGCAAACTATATGGTGAATGCCTGGGGTATAAGGAGCACACATCCACCTACATGAAGTAACTCAGTACCCTGGTTACAATGAGCCATTGCTGTCTGTCATGCTGAGTCAGGAAAAACACACCACTACGACAGGTCAAATGTACCATAAAAAAACTGGAAATGGAACAGCAAAACTGCTCAATATCCATAATATCTACACATGTCCCCGTAACAGGGGGCGGCCAGGACAGTCATTCATTCTCAAAGCACAGCGCCTTTTTCAGTGCATCCCTTGCAGCTTGCAGCAGCTGTGCTTCCGGTGAATCTGCCAGCGCTGCTGCCGCTGAAACAGCTATGCTCCTCTGGCCTTGCACAAAATCTGCTGCTTCTGGCGCTGGTGGTGCCTCTGCTACTGCCGATCATCCTCCTGAACTGCAATCATTGCCACCACTGCATAGCAACTCAGACATGACATCAAGGCTGCTGCTTTGAAGTAACACTGTTTCAGCAGCAAGACCTTTGGAACCAGAAGTAAGATCTACAGTCGATTCAGGCGCCCGGGTAAGACTAGCAGGGGTTTTGGAACCACCAGGGGCAGCTGCAGAACTGGTGCGACCCGTACTCCTGAACTGCAATCATTGCCACCACTGCATAGCAACTCAGACATGACATCAAGGCTGCTGCTTTGAAGTTACACTGTTTCAGCAGCAAGACCTTTGGAACCAGAACTAAGATCTACAGTCGATTCAGGCGCCCGGGTAAGACTAGCAGGGGTTTTGGAACCACCAGGGGCAGCTGCAGAACTGGTGCGACCCGTACTGGGAGAGTGCGGTGCAGAGGGGTGCAGCGCGGTGCAGTGCAGTATCCGGGAGGTGAGCTCTAAGGTTGCATGGCGCCACCACAGGGCTCTCTCCTCTGCCTGCTGCACCTGTTGGGGGCAGGCGAGGGGCACGAAAAGGGGAGGAACAGGGGCACGCACACTGGTGGAGGGCAGGTGGGGGGAAGCAGTCACTTCTATGGTTGCATGGCGCCACCACAGGGCTCTCTCCTCTGCTTGCTGCACCTGTTGGGGTCAGGCGGTGGGGAGATAAGGGGAAGGTGGGGGTCAGGTAGTGAGGACTGGGACAGGTAGGGGGAAGGTACTATAAGGCAGGGAGGGGAGATCGGGAAGTGGCGAGATGGGGAGAGGAAAAGAGTTAAAGGAACAGTGAGCTCAATCGTTGCATGTTGCCAACACAGGGCTCTCTCCTCCGCATGCTGCACCTATTGAGACCTGGTTGCGGGCAGGCAGGGGGCAGGCGGGGGGCTGGCGGGGGGCAGGTGGGGGGCAGGTAGAGGGCAGGTAGGGGGAGGTCAGTTCTATGGTTGCATGGCATGGCGCCACCACAGGGCTCTCTCCTCCGCCTGCTGTGCCTGTAGGGGGCAGGCGAGGAGAGGTAAAGGGGAGGTAGGGGGGCAGAGAGGAGGAGGGGGAAAGGGTAGAAAGGGCGATGGGGAGGGCAGGTTTTGATGGGTAACAGAAGGGGAAGGGGGAGAAGAAAGCACGTAATATTCTATTTATGATGATTGCACAGACTCGTGCCTTGATTGCATGTAACTGCTGCTGTTGAAAGTCGTTCTCCATCATACCACACACACACAGGCCACACACATACACCGCACACACATACCATACACACAAACCGCACATACACGCTGCACACACATACCACACATACACACCGCACACATAGTGCACACACACACACACACACACACCACACACACACACACACACACACACACACACGCACACGCACACGCACACGCGCGCGCACACACACACACACACACACACACACACACACACACACACACACGCATGCACGCACGCACGTGCGTGCGCTCGCGTGCACACACACACACACACACACACAGACACAGACACACACACACACACACACACACACACACACCACACACACACACGCGCGCACGCACGCACGCACGCACGCACGCACGCACGCACGCACGCACGCACACACACACACACACAGACACACAAACTTACATGTTGCTCATAGTCATTCTCAGCTCCTCAGCTCCTCCTCCTCATCCGCCTCGTCAGTCTCCCCCTCTGCCCCTTCTTCCCCTCCACCATCTCCCTCCAATCCTTCCTCTGACCCCTCACTTGTCTCCTCAGCCTCTTTCCCAACTGCTGCTTCATGTCCCACTCTCTCACTCCTTTCCTCCCTTGTAAAATTCCCACCATCAGCGGTCACAGAAACGTTCACTGCAACTGCAGGGGCAACTGCAACAGCAGCAGTGCGGTTCCAGGGACAGCAGCAGGAGCAGCACTACCGGCAGCAACAACAGCGGGATGCATTTTAGAAAGAGCAGCACCAGAAGAAGCGTGAATCCACGTGATAAGGGAGGTAGACGCAGGGAAGTCAGCAAATGGCAGGAGCTGGTATTGGTGGTTTTGTTGCTGGTGGTGTTGCCGGTGTTGCTGATGCTGTTGGCGCTGCTGTTGGTGCTGCACCTGCGACTGTGAGTGCATGCTGAGAGCCTGTGAGGATCGGTGTTGTGCTGTTGCACTTTCACTCGCTAGGGGTGTGGATGGTGTGGTGGATGGGGCGCGGTGAAGAGGGGGAGAGGAGTGGGGAGGGGATTGGGGAGCGGAGGGGGAAAGGGGTGGTGGATGAGGAAAGTTTGCGCGGCTGAGGGTGAGAGACGAGGAGGAAAAATGAAGGGGTTGGGGTGGAGCAAGTGGCAAGCTGTCGGAGGAAAATGGTAGCCACATCAGCAATAGGAGCGACAATGGCGGGAAGCGCTACATGGGTAGCAGCAATGCGAGGAGGAATTAAAGTGGCTGTGGTGCTGATAGCAGTGACTGCTCTAGGAGACACGGGGACCATGAGAGTAGGAGTGGGGGTAGGCGCAGGAAACGCGGGAAGGAGAGGGAGTGAAAGCAGGAGATAGGACAGGAGGAGGAGCAGGCGTGGTGGCTGCTGTGGTAGATGAAGCAGCGCCAGGGGAGGAGGAGGAAGAGGGAACAGGAGAGGTAACGAGAGGAGCAAAATGGGTGTAAGGATAACGCTGTCAAGCACTGGTTAAACTCTGGCATATCTGTTTCCATCAGTATAGAGGTGAGTGAACAGGCCCAGGCGCTTCTTCACAAAGGAGATGAGGTCGTCACTGGGGTTGAAGAGGGGAGAGAGGAGCAGATGGTGGGGAGGGAGAGAACCGTAGTAGTAGAGGTGAGCGACTGACAGGCCCAGGCGCTTCTTCACAAAGGAGATGAGGTCGTCACTGGGGTTGAAGAGGGGAGAGAGGAGCAGATGGTGGGGAGGGAGAGAACCGTAGTAGTAGAGGTGAGCGACTGACAGGCCCAGGCGCTTCTTCACAAAGGAGATGAGGTCGTCACTGGGGTTGGGGAGGGGAGAGAGGAGCAGATGGTGGGGAGGGAGAGAACCGTAGTAGTAGAGGTGAGCGACTGACAGGCCCAGGCGCTTCTTCACAAAGGAGATGAGGTTGCCTCTGGGGTTGGGGAGGGGAGGGGGAGGCGAGGAGGGGAGGCGAGGAGGGGAGGAGAGGAGCAGGGTAAAAGGGCAGAACAGTGAGTCACTAAGTGAACGTTGTAGAGCTGCCTTGACAATGGAGGTGAGTGAGTGACTGACAGGTCACACGCCCAGCCGCTTCTTCACTAAAGTGATGAGCTCGTCACTGGGATTGGGGAGAGGGAGCAAAGGAGAAGAGGAGGGGAGAAGGTTGGGTAAAATGACCGAACTGTCGATCAATGGGTGAATGTTTGCATAGTTGGAGGTGAGTGACTGACAGGCCCTGCCGCTTCTTTACAAAGATGTTGAGCTGCGACTTGCATGGGGCTTGAATGTCATAGCCTCGTCTTTGGACGAGCCTAGGTAGAGTTATTACGTTCGAAATTGATTACCGATATTCACCACTAATGTCCCCGGATGGGTTTTAAAGTCCACGACTTTAGTGCGAAGGCTGTGAAAAATCACGCCCTGTGCGTCAAGCGCCTTCATCTTGGACTTAAGATTGGACTTCATCTTAAGCTTGGACTTCGACTTAAGGTAAGTCTTGAAATCTGCTCGAAATCCCTTGACAGCTTCTGCAGTCCAGCCTTTGAAAGGCTCAGGAATCGTGATGGACTGATCAGGAACAGCCGCAGAGTTGCTACAACCAGCTGGTGCCGAAGTATCAACTGGCCCAGCATTAGGAGCAGTTTCGACTTCCATGGCGGGATGATTTGCTGGATGCTTGTCCATCTTCGAATTATCGTGAGTTGGAGCAGAAATTCCAGCACCGTCAAGATTACGAGGCCGCTTCGAATTCCGATGGTAGCCTGAGTAAGTTCTCGTCGGCGCCGCTGCCTCACGAAAAACGATTGCAGAACTCCCTTCTCCTGTACCGGCGTCGTCTGGAGTAAGTGGAAGCGCAAGCGTATGTTCAGACATCCCAGCGAGCAGCAGTTTCTAAGGAGAAGGTTTAGCAAAGGAGAAAACAGTTGTAGTAAAATCCTAGCTGATTGCGTAGGGTTCTGTAAAGTCGGAGCTCTTCGCTAAGCAGTGGTTAAAACACGGACAAACATGTTTCGGCTGTAGGGAAACCCCTAGCAAGCCTTCATCAGTGCCAAATGAAAGAAAGTGAGCGAGGCCTAGCCTTCTAAAGCAAAGCAAGAAAGGCTAACCACCGTATTTACAAATCCCTAGGCTATCTTCACCCTGGTCAACCCAAAAAGATGGGGACCAATCCAGGCTGCCCTGGAAATTCCAAGGAGCCACGTCTTCATTCCTCGGCAGTGTCTTCGTGAGTAACAGGGCCTGCATCTTCGCCACTTCGCAAACTCGAGAGTCGCACGCGCACCAGTAGCTTTGATAAGCTACACCCCAATTTCCAAGCAACAAAAATCCTATCTACATAAAATCCGCGTGAGAGAAGTCTAGTCTTGAGGTGCCTCAAAACGACCCCCAGTCGGAGACAAGAAGTCCATGGTGTGAACTCTGTCTTCAGAACCAGGGGCCCGCGGGATGGTAGAACTTGTTGCTTGAGTAACTGGTTGGTGGCGATGTGGGCGAGGAGCTCTGGCCGTGGAGCGAAGCAGACACTTTTGAAGAGGGGGTGGAGAAAAGCTGGCGGGTAACCACGAGCGCGGAGTCGCTGGAAAAACGCAGACTTTGTAGCGAGGAAGGTCGCAGCTGAGGTCGAGCGGAGTAGGTAACGCTTCAGTTCAGCTTCAGTTCAGCTCGAATGAATCCCTCCTTGCAGTGCCGTGGGTGGAAGGAGGAGAAGGGCAGATAGAGGTATCGGTTTAACGGCTTCTGGAAGGTGCCGAAATCCAAGATACCATGCTCCTGAAAGCGGGGTCCTTTGGAAAGGACCAGATCGAGAAAGTCTATGGAGATGTCCGAAACTGACCACGTAATCCTAATGTTAGGATCTAGCGCATTGTAGGTCCGTAGGTAGTCCTCCAGTTCTACCCGCGTTCCTGGCCAAATGAGAACGCAGTCATCAATAAAGCGCACGTGGTGAAGAGGAACTGTTCCGGTCCATCTATCCTTCAGCAACTCGTCAAGACGGCTCATGAATAGGACGGCGAAGCACACAGCGACAGGAGTTCCCATAGCTGTCCCCCGAACTTGATGATACGTCCGACCGTCGAACTCGACAAACGAGTTCCTCAAGTCCCACCCCAAAAGGGCCAAGAGAGGTAGAGCGAGCTGCGGATTCTCTCGTTGAAGAAAACAGTTGACTGCTTCGAGCCCGCGTTCTATGGAGATGCTGGGGTAGAGCGCGGTAACGTCGTAAGTTGCAAGAAGAACCGTCCTAGGAAAAGGGGTCCGTTCTAGCGTAGTCAACAGAGAAAGAGAGTCCCGAAGGTAGGTAGGTCGTTTGAGGACGAGCGGCCGTAGTTCTGCGTCCAACCAGCGGCTCACATTGGTAGTAACCCATGAATGTGAGGCGGCGATCGGCCGCCCCACGAGTTCCTTCTTGTGAAGCTTAGGCAGGATATAGAAGGCCGCAGGTTTCCAACCTCCGGGTGGTTCATCGAAGAAAAATTTCCAGAGACTGTCTGGAAAAGCCGGTCCCCAGGCTGACTGTAAAAACCGTAGCTGCTGCAGAACACTAGGCGTAGGGTCACGGTAAACCGGTTTGTACACGGCGTCATCCGTCAGGTGCTCCATACACAAGTTGACATAATGACTGCGGTCCATGACAGTGATACCCAGGTACTTATCTGCTGCTTTGATGACTATGCTACGATCCGTCGCCAGGGAGCGCAAGGCCGAGCGTACACCCAGTGAGAGATTCGAACCACGCCGAGGCCTTGCTGCTTTCATCAGGAAAGAGAGGTATCATGTGCCTCCCTGAAAACCGACTCCGGGACCTCGTCCCGATCGGGTTTCCAACTCGGGTTCCTCCGCACTCGAAAGCGTGAAGATGCAGTTGGATCCCCTCTGTCCTTGAAGAAAAACTGAAGAGAAATCTGTCGATGTAGCTGATCGAGGGCTGCAGCGACTGACGGGTTCCAGGCAGGTGTCGGTACGAACTTTAACCCCATCCCGAGTGCCATCCGCTCATCCGACGTTAAGGTCTTGGCACCCAGGTTATGCACCCCGAGATTCCGCACGCGCGACAACGCTTGGTGAAGAGTCAGGCGGCCGAACCAACGGAGCGCGAGGTCGTGGGCCGTTACTTCTTCTTTGGCGGCCCTTTTGCGAGGCCGCCTCCGCCGTTTTTTGGAACCCAGGCCTTCTTCGAGGATGGCGCTGGTGAAGCTTCACGGCCCTTCCCTTTGCTGTCCGCCGGGACATCGGCTTTCTTTTTCTTACCGCCGCGCTTCTTCTTGGCCTTGTTAGGCTTCGGATTAGCAGCAGCGGGGGTTGACTTCACATCCTGCTTGTCCAACTCGAGCGACTTCAGCTTGGCAGATAGGGCAGCGTCAAATTCCGCCTTCAATTCCTTGCGGATATCGACCTTCGCCTTCTGTACCTGCTTCTGTACGATCTCGTCGATAGTCAACTTAGGTTCCATGCCGACCATCTCCTCAGCAGCAGCAGATTTCTTCAACTCCTCGGCTTCACGGGATTTCTGCCTCAACAGCTCCTGAACTTTGATGTCGTCCTTGGCGGTGGCAATATCGCATCTGGCCCTCTCGATGCACTGAACCTTGATTTTCCTGAATTTCTCTTTGGCGACATCAGAAATCGTCAAATCAGGATCAGACGAGAGGCGTTTGATGTGATCCTCAAGCCTAGCCGCCAGAGCCGTGAGGTGTGAATCGGAAACCGCCAGCGCCTCTTCAACCTCCAATTCCTTGGTCTTAATGACGTCCGTTTGGATCCGCTTCTGGTTCTCGAGATGAATAGCAGCAATCGAAGCTGCCGACTTTTCCCTCACCGAAGGGTACTTGGTCTGGAACTCGACGACTTTAGTGCGAAGGCTGTGAAGAATCACGCCCTGTGCGTCAAGCGCCTTCATCTTCTTAAGTCTTGAAATCTGCTCGAAATCCCTTGACAGCTTCTGCAGTCCAGCCTTTGAAAGGCTCAGGAATCGTGATGGACTGATCAGGAACAGCCGCAGAGTTGCTACAACTAGCTGGTGCCGAAGTATCAGCTGGCCCAGCATTAGGAGCAGTTTCGACTTCCATGGCGGGATGATTTGCTGGATGCTTGTCCTTCTTCGAATTATCGTGAGTTGGAGCAGAAATTCCAGCACCGTCAAGATTACGAGGCCGCTTCGAATTCCGATGGTAGCCTGAGTAAGTTCTCGTCGGCGCCGCTGCCTCATGAAAAACGATTGCAGAACTCCCTTCTCCTGTAACGGCGTCGTCTGGAGTAAGTGTAAGCGCAAGCGTATGTTCAGACATCCCAGCGAGCAGCAGTTTCTAAGGAGAAGGTTTAGCAAAGGAGAAAACAGTTGTAGTAAAATCCTAGCTGATTGCGTAGGGTTCTGTAAAGTCGGAGCTCTTCACTAAGCAGTGGTTAAAACACGGACAAACATGTTTCGGCTGTAGGGAAACCCCTAGCAAGCCTTCATCAGTGCCAAATGAAAGAAAGTGAGCGAGGCCTAGCCTTCTAAAGCAAAGCAAGAAAGGCTAACCACCGTATTTACAAATCCCTAGGCTATCTTCACCCTGGTCAACCCAAAAAGATGGGGACCAATCCAGGCTGCCCTGGAAATTCCAAGGAGCCACGTCTTCATTCCTCGGCAGTGTCTTCGCGAGTAACAGGGCCTGCATCTTCGCCACTTCGCAAACTCGAGAGTCGCGCGCGCACCAGTAGCTTTGATAAGCTACACCCCAATTTCCAAGCAACAAAAATCCTATCTACATAAAATCCGCGTGAGAGAAGTCTAGTCTTGAGGTGCCTCAAAACGACCCCCAGTCGGAGACAAGAAGTCCATGGTGTGAACTCTGTCTTCAGAACCAGGGGCCCGCGGGATGGTATAACTTGTTGCTTGAGTAACTGGTTGGTGGCGATGTGGGCGAGGAGCTCTGGCCGTGGAGCGAAGCAGACACTTTTGAAGAGGGGGTGGAGAAAAGCTGGCGGGTAACCACGAGCGCGGAGTCGCTGGAAAAACGCAGACTTTGTAGCGAGGAAGGTCGCAGCTGAGGTCGAGCGGAGTAGGTAACGCTTCAGTTCAGCTTCAGTTCAGCTCGAATGAATCCCTCCTTGCAGTGCCGTGGGTGGAAGGAGGAGAAGGGCAGATAGAGGTATCGGTTTAACGGCTTCTGGAAGGTGCCGAAATCCAAGATACCATGCTCCTGAAAGCGGGGTCCTTTGGAAAGGACCAGATCGAGAAAGTCTATGGAGATGTCCGAAACTGACCACGTAATCCTAATGTTAGGATCTAGCGCATTGTAGGTCCGTAGGTAGTCCTCCAGTTCTACCCGCGTTCCTGGCCAAATGAGAACGCAGTCATCAATAAAGCGCACGTGGTGAAGAGGAACTGTTCCGGTCCATCTATCCTTCAGCAACTCGTCAAGACGGCTCATGAATAGGACGGCGAAGCACACAGCGACAGGAGTTCCCATAGCTGTCCCCCGAACTTGATGATACGTCCGACCGTCGAACTCGACAAACGAGTTCCTCAAGTCCCACCCCAAAAGGGCCAAGAGAGGTTGAGCGAGCTGCGGATTCTCTCGTTGAAGAAAACAGTTGACTGCTTCGAGCCCGCGTTCTATGGAGATGCTGGGGTAGAGCGCGGTAACGTCGTAAGTTGCAAGAAGAACCGTCCTAGGAAAAGGGGTCCGTTCTAGCGTAGTCAACAGAGAAAGAGAGTCCCGAAGGTAGGTAGGTCGTTTGAGGACGAGCGGCCGTAGTTCTGCGTCCAACCAGCGGCTCACATTGGTAGTAACCCATGAATGTGAGGCGGCGATCGGCCGCCCCACGAGTTCCTTCTTGTGAAGCTTAGGCAGGATATAGAAGGCCGCAGGTTTCCAACCTCCGGGTGGTTCATCGAAGAAAAATTTCCAGAGACTGTCTGGAAAAGCCGGTCCCCAGGCTGACTGTAAAAACCGTAGCTGCTGCAGAACACTAGGCGTAGGGTCACGGTAAACCGGTTTGTACACGGCGTCATCCGTCAGGTGCTCCATACACAAGTTGACATAATGACTGCGGTCCATGACAGTGATACCCAGGTACTTATCTGCTGCTTTGATGACTATGCTACGATCCGTCGCCAGGGAGCGCAAGGCCGAGCGTACACCCAGTGAGAGATTCGAACCACGCCGAGGCCTTGCTGCTTTCATCAGGAAAGAGAGGTATCATGTGCCTCCCTGAAAACCGACTCCGGGACCTCGTCCCGATCGGGTTTCCAACTCGGGTTCCTCCGCACTCGAAAGCGTGAAGATGCAGTTGGATCCCCTCTGTCCTTGAAGAAAAACTGAAGAGAAATCTGTCGATGTAGCTGATCGAGGGCTGCAGCGACTGACGGGTTCCAGGCAGGTGTCGGTACGAACTTTAACCCCATCCCGAGTGCCATCCGCTCATCCGACGTTAAGGTCTTGGCACCCAGGTTATGCACCCCGAGATTCCGCACGCGCGACAACGCTTGGTGAAGAGTCAGGCGGCCGAACCAACGGAGCGCGAGGTCGTGGGCCGTTACTTCTTCTTTGGCGGCCCTTTTGCGAGGCCGCCTCCGCCGTTTTTTGGAACCCAGGCCTTCTTCGAGGATGGCGCTGGTGAAGCTTCACGGCCCTTCCCTTTGCTGTCCGCCGGGACATCGGCTTTCTTTTTCTTACCGCCGCGCTTCTTCTTGGCCTTGTTAGGCTTCGGATTAGCAGCAGCGGGGGTTGACTTCACATCCTGCTTGTCCAACTCGAGCGACTTCAGCTTGGCAGATAGGGCAGCGTCAAATTCCGCCTTCAATTCCTTGCGGATATCGACCTTCGCCTTCTGTACCTGCTTCTGTACGATCTCGTCGATAGTCAACTTAGGTTCCATGCCGACCATCTCCTCAGCAGCAGCAGATTTCTTCAACTCCTCGGCTTCACGGGATTTCTGCCTCAACAGCTCCTGAACTTTGATGTCGTCCTTGGCGGTGGCAATATCGCATCTGGCCCTCTCGATGCACTGAACCTTGATTTTCCTGAATTTCTCTTTGGCGACATCAGAAATCGTCAAATCAGGATCAGACGAGAGGCGTTTGATGTGATCCTCAAGCCTAGCCGCCAGAGCCGTGAGGTGTGAATCGGAAACCGCCAGCGCCTCTTCAACCTCCAATTCCTTGGTCTTAATGACGTCCGTTTGGATCCGCTTCTGGTTCTCGAGATGAATAGCAGCAATCGAAGCTGCCGACTTTTCCCTCACCGAAGGGTACTTGGTCTGGAACTCGACGACTTTAGTGCGAAGGCTGTGAAGAATCACGCCCTGTGCGTCAAGCGCCTTCATCTTCTTAAGTCTTGAAATCTGCTCGAAATCCCTTGACAGCTTCTGCAGTCCAGCCTTTGAAAGGCTCAGGAATCGTGATGGACTGATCAGGAACAGCCGCAGAGTTGCTACAACTAGCTGGTGCCGAAGTATCAGCTGGCCCAGCATTAGGAGCAGTTTCGACTTCCATGGCGGGATGATTTGCTGGATGCTTGTCCTTCTTCGAATTATCGTGAGTTGGAGCAGAAATTCCAGCACCGTCAAGATTACGAGGCCGCTTCGAATTCCGATGGTAGCCTGAGTAAGTTCTCGTCGGCGCCGCTGCCTCATGAAAAACGATTGCAGAACTCCCTTCTCCTGTAACGGCGTCGTCTGGAGTAAGTGTAAGCGCAAGCGTATGTTCAGACATCCCAGCGAGCAGCAGTTTCTAAGGAGAAGGTTTAGCAAAGGAGAAAACAGTTGTAGTAAAATCCTAGCTGATTGCGTAGGGTTCTGTAAAGTCGGAGCTCTTCACTAAGCAGTGGTTAAAACACGGACAAACATGTTTCGGCTGTAGGGAAACCCCTAGCAAGCCTTCATCAGTGCCAAATGAAAGAAAGTGAGCGAGGCCTAGCCTTCTAAAGCAAAGCAAGAAAGGCTAACCACCGTATTTACAAATCCCTAGGCTATCTTCACCCTGGTCAACCCAAAAAGATGGGGACCAATCCAGGCTGCCCTGGAAATTCCAAGGAGCCACGTCTTCATTCCTCGGCAGTGTCTTCGCGAGTAACAGGGCCTGCATCTTCGCCACTTCGCAAACTCGAGAGTCGCGCGCGCACCAGTAGCTTTGATAAGCTACACCCCAATTTCCAAGCAACAAAAATCCTATCTACATAAAATCCGCGTGAGAGAAGTCTAGTCTTGAGGTGCCTCAAAACGACCCCCAGTCGGAGACAAGAAGTCCATGGTGTGAACTCTGTCTTCAGAACCAGGGGCCCGCGGGATGGTAGAACTTGTTGCTTGAGTAACTGGTTGGTGGCGATGTGGGCGAGGAGCTCTGGCCGTGGAGCGAAGCAGACACTTTTGAAGAGGGGGTGGAGAAAAGCTGGCGGGTAACCACGAGCGCGGAGTCGCTGGAAAAACGCAGACTTTGTAGCGAGGAAGGTCGCAGCTGAGGTCGAGCGGAGTAGGTAACGCTTCAGTTCAGCTTCAGTTCAGCTCGAATGAATCCCTCCTTGCAGTGCCGTGGGTGGAAGGAGGAGAAGGGCAGATAGAGGTATCGGTTTAACGGCTTCTGGAAGGTGCCGAAATCCAAGATACCATGCTCCTGAAAGCGGGGTCCTTTGGAAAGGACCAGATCGAGAAAGTCTATGGAGATGTCCGAAACTGACCACGTAATCCTAATGTTAGGATCTAGCGCATTGTAGGTCCGTAGGTAGTCCTCCAGTTCTACCCGCGTTCCTGGCCAAATGAGAACGCAGTCATCAATAAAGCGCACGTGGTGAAGAGGAACTGTTCCGGTCCATCTATCCTTCAGCAACTCGTCAAGACGGCTCATGAATAGGACGGCGAAGCACACAGCGACAGGAGTTCCCATAGCTGTCCCCCGAACTTGATGATACGTCCGACCGTCGAACTCGACAAACGAGTTCCTCAAGTCCCACCCCAAAAGGGCCAAGAGAGGTAGAGCGAGCTGCGGATTCTCTCGTTGAAGAAAACAGTTGACTGCTTCGAGCCCGCGTTCTATGGAGATGCTGGGGTAGAGCGCGGTAACGTCGTAAGTTGCAAGAAGAACCGTCCTAGGAAAAGGGGTCCGTTCTAGCGTAGTCAACAGAGAAAGAGAGTCCCGAAGGTAGGTAGGTCGTTTGAGGACGAGCGGCCGTAGTTCTGCGTCCAACCAGCGGCTCACATTGGTAGTAACCCATGAATGTGAGGCGGCGATCGGCCGCCCCACGAGTTCCTTCTTGTGAAGCTTAGGCAGGATATAGAAGGCCGCAGGTTTCCAACCTCCGGGTGGTTCATCGAAGAAAAATTTCCAGAGACTGTCTGGAAAAGCCGGTCCCCAGGCTGACTGTAAAAACCGTAGCTGCTGCAGAACACTAGGCGTAGGGTCACGGTAAACCGGTTTGTACACGGCGTCATCCGTCAGGTGCTCCATACACAAGTTGACATAATGACTGCGGTCCATGACAGTGATACCCAGGTACTTATCTGCTGCTTTGATGACTATGCTACGATCCGTCGCCAGGGAGCGCAAGGCCGAGCGTACACCCAGTGAGAGATTCGAACCACGCCGAGGCCTTGCTGCTTTCATCAGGAAAGAGAGGTATCATGTGCCTCCCTGAAAACCGACTCCGGGACCTCGTCCCGATCGGGTTTCCAACTCGGGTTCCTCCGCACTCGAAAGCGTGAAGATGCAGTTGGATCCCCTCTGTCCTTGAAGAAAAACTGAAGAGAAATCTGTCGATGTAGCTGATCGAGGGCTGCAGCGACTGACGGGTTCCAGGCAGGTGTCGGTACGAACTTTAACCCCATCCCGAGTGCCATCCGCTCATCCGACGTTAAGGTCTTGGCACCCAGGTTATGCACCCCGAGATTCCGCACGCGCGACAACGCTTGGTGAAGAGTCAGGCGGCCGAACCAACGGAGCGCGAGGTCGTGGGCCGTTACTTCTTCTTTGGCGGCCCTTTTGCGAGGCCGCCTCCGCCGTTTTTTGGAACCCAGGCCTTCTTCGAGGATGGCGCTGGTGAAGCTTCACGGCCCTTCCCTTTGCTGTCCGCCGGGACATCGGCTTTCTTTTTCTTACCGCCGCGCTTCTTCTTGGCCTTGTTAGGCTTCGGATTAGCAGCAGCGGGGGTTGACTTCACATCCTGCTTGTCCAACTCGAGCGACTTCAGCTTGGCAGATAGGGCAGCGTCAAATTCCGCCTTCAATTCCTTGCGGATATCGACCTTCGCCTTCTGTACCTGCTTCTGTACGATCTCGTCGATAGTCAACTTAGGTTCCATGCCGACCATCTCCTCAGCAGCAGCAGATTTCTTCAACTCCTCGGCTTCACGGGATTTCTGCCTCAACAGCTCCTGAACTTTGATGTCGTCCTTGGCGGTGGCAATATCGCATCTGGCCCTCTCGATGCACTGAACCTTGATTTTCCTGAATTTCTCTTTGGCGACATCAGAAATCGTCAAATCAGGATCAGACGAGAGGCGTTTGATGTGATCCTCAAGCCTAGCCGCCAGAGCCGTGAGGTGTGAATCGGAAACCGCCAGCGCCTCTTCAACCTCCAATTCCTTGGTCTTAATGACGTCCGTTTGGATCCGCTTCTGGTTCTCGAGATGAATAGCAGCAATCGAAGCTGCCGACTTTTCCCTCACCGAAGGGTACTTGGTCTGGAACTCGACGACTTTAGTGCGAAGGCTGTGAAGAATCACGCCCTGTGCGTCAAGCGCCTTCATCTTCTTAAGTCTTGAAATCTGCTCGAAATCCCTTGACAGCTTCTGCAGTCCAGCCTTTGAAAGGCTCAGGAATCGTGATGGACTGATCAGGAACAGCCGCAGAGTTGCTACAACTAGCTGGTGCCGAAGTATCAGCTGGCCCAGCATTAGGAGCAGTTTCGACTTCCATGGCGGGATGATTTGCTGGATGCTTGTCCTTCTTCGAATTATCGTGAGTTGGAGCAGAAATTCCAGCACCGTCAAGATTACGAGGCCGCTTCGAATTCCGATGGTAGCCTGAGTAAGTTCTCGTCGGCGCCGCTGCCTCATGAAAAACGATTGCAGAACTCCCTTCTCCTGTAACGGCGTCGTCTGGAGTAAGTGTAAGCGCAAGCGTATGTTCAGACATCCCAGCGAGCAGCAGTTTCTAAGGAGAAGGTTTAGCAAAGGAGAAAACAGTTGTAGTAAAATCCTAGCTGATTGCGTAGGGTTCTGTAAAGTCGGAGCTCTTCACTAAGCAGTGGTTAAAACACGGACAAACATGTTTCGGCTGTAGGGAAACCCCTAGCAAGCCTTCATCAGTGCCAAATGAAAGAAAGTGAGCGAGGCCTAGCCTTCTAAAGCAAAGCAAGAAAGGCTAACCACCGTATTTACAAATCCCTAGGCTATCTTCACCCTGGTCAACCCAAAAAGATGGGGACCAATCCAGGCTGCCCTGGAAATTCCAAGGAGCCACGTCTTCATTCCTCGGCAGTGTCTTCGCGAGTAACAGGGCCTGCATCTTCGCCACTTCGCAAACTCGAGAGTCGCGCGCGCACCAGTAGCTTTGATAAGCTACACCCCAATTTCCAAGCAACAAAAATCCTATCTACATAAAATCCACGTGAGAGAAGTCCAGTCTTGAGGCGCCTCAAAACTAGACTTGGCGCGTACCTCGAAGTGCTGTGCCACCCCTGTCCTGCTGTACGCCTCCTCTGCTCGCTGCACCGCCCCTCTCAGCCCCTCAATGGGACACCTTGGGTCGCTCTCCCCTGTGATGTTGTGTCAATGCGGCAGCAGAGAGGCAACCAAGTAAGTGAATGGTGTGACAGAGAATCAAAAGTGCCTGCCCGCTGCACTGCTCCCTTCAGCCCCTCCACGGGACACCTGGGGTCGCTCTCCAATGCAGCAGGAGAGAGGCAAGTGAGTGAGTGAGTGAGTGAGTGAGTGAGTGAGTGAATGAGTGAGTGAGTGGTGTGAAAGGGGATCGGGTCCCTGTTATCTTGGTTGCAAGATGGCACAGGTCCGTGGCACGTAGCAACAAGTGGGCTGGGGTTGATACACGCGTACGAGGTGACTTTTGAGGCGATTCAAAAGTCATCTCGTTTTGAGTCGACTCAAAAAGCAGCAGAGAGGCAAGTGAGTGAGTGAGTGAGTGGTGTGAAAGGGGATCACTTTCCTGCTGTCTTGGTTGCAAGATGACACAGGTCAGTGGCACGTTGCAGCAATGTTGGTGTTACTTTTGAGAATTCTCAAAAGTAACATCAACTGAGGGAGTGGTTTGAAAGGGGATCAGCTCTCTGCTGCTGTCTTGGTTGCAAGATGACACGGGTCCATCGCACGTTGCAACAAGTGGGCTGGGATTGATACACTGCGTACCGTTCAGAATGAGCAGTGGGCGGGGGCAGATGGCTGGCAGGGAGTTGTGAGGGCCGAAGTGCTGCAGCAACCCAGGAGTTATCTGGTTCCACATCTGAGCTTTAAGCAAGAGAGAGGGGTGGGAGGGTAGAATCAAGGGTGGGCAGAAGGAGGGGGGTTGTGATACGGAAAGGGTGAGACATGAGGGGAAGAGGGGAAACCAGGGATTGGAAGTAAGTGGGGATGCGAGGGAGTTGGGGTAAGGAGAAACGAAGTGGTGATGTGGATCTACCTGTCGTCGTCGTTGCCGCTCGCATAGCAAGAAACGAATGACGCGGTATAGGAGGGGAAGAGACTATGCTGATGATGAGCAGTGCATGCATGCAGTGGGAGATGGGCGGAAACTGCATGTGAAGAAATTATCAATAAACGAAAAAACACTCACTGCTGTGACCACTTCAGCATCCACATGTGCCTTCCCCATGTCCTCTGCTGCTGCTGTTGAGGTGGGGAGAGAAGCAGGCAGAACGAACAAAGATGGAAAGGACACGTGTGGGGACATGTAACCACACAGCAGAAATGCGCCAAAATACACCTCCCGATCTCAGTACACCTCCCGATCTCAGTACCCCTCCCGATCTCAGTACCCCTCCCGATCTCAGTACACCTCCCGATCTCAGTACACCTCCCGATCTCAGTACCCCTCCCGATCTCAGTACCCGCCCACATGATGAAGACATCACCTTTGAGACGTCTCAAAAGTCAGTACCCACCCATACGATGAAACCATGAGAGCAACGGGAAATGGCCGCAGAAACCGCAGGCTAGTTAACAGCAGGAACGGCCATGCCGCTGCAGAAGAAACAAAACAGAAAACTACCATGATTATACACAACATGGTTTTATTTAAACCAAGTAGAATGGCTGCCAGCTGGCTTATTCTTGAAGGCGTGTGGTAAACCAGCTCTCAGCCCGTTTACTCGCGTGTGGTAAACCAGCTCTCAGCCCGTTTACTCGCGTGTGGTAAACCAGCTCTCAGCCCGTTTACTCGCGTGTGGTAAACCAGCTCTCAGCCCGTTTACTCGCGTGTGGTAAACCAGCTCTCAGCCCGTTTACTCGCGTGTGGTAAACCAGCTGGTACTTCGCGCTGCGAACAACCTGAGAGCTTGCTCACCATTAAAGGCGTGGGGGATGGAGGCCACTCGGGCATGGAAGCAGTTGTTGTCCACCGCCCAGTGGAAGCACTGGGGGAGGAAGGAAGGAAGGGAGAGGGGGGGGGGGGGGGATGGAAGTTTTGGCATGAAAACGGCTGTCCACCACACCCTGCTCTCCCTCCTCACCACCTCACCACCTCACCACCTCACCACCTCACCACCTCACCACTCACCACCTCACCACTCACCACCTCACCACCTCACCACCTCACCACCTCACCACCTCACCACTCACAACCTGCACGCCTATCATCCCACCTCTCCCCACCGACCAACACTCCCACCCACCGGCACTCCCACCATCCACCACAACTCCTACTCCCCTGCACTCCCACTCCCCTCCATTCCCACTCCCCTGCACTCCCACTCCCCTCCATTCCCACTCCCCTGCACTCCCAAACCCCATCCACCATTCACCCACCTGCACGCCGATCATGGGAGCAGCTGCAGCTATCCGAGGGTCTGCTGCGGCTGCCAGCCATGCCACCATGCCTGGTGGGGGGGAGAGGGGGGCACAGACACACTGATCATATGCGACGAAATCATTGAGGTTACTTGCCACCCACTCAATTGAACGCCTATCATGGGAGCAGCCGCTGCTATCCGAGGGTCTGCTGCGGCTGCCAGCCATGCCACCATGCCTGACAGTGGGTGTGGGTAGGGGGAGAGGCAGAGGGAGGAACAGAGGGACAAAAGTGAGAAACGAAGTGGTAGGTGAGATATAGGGAGCAAGAGGGTGAGAAGGGAAAAGGAGGAGGAGAAGGAGCAGAAATAGATTGGGGATATAGGGGACTTTCAGCTTTGAGTCGACTCGAAAGTCAATGGGCCATACCACCGTGCCTGGTGGTGGGTTGCGAGGGGAGGAGGACAGGTAGAGATTGGGAAGAGTGAGTAGCTGGTGAGGTAGAGTAGAGGTGTCTTCTGACTTAGGGTCGATTCGAGGGGAGGAGGGGAAAGGGACGGATATAGACATATTGTGTAAGGTGAGAAGTGGGATTGTCAGCTCACGATTGCATGTGAGTGTCAAGGAGGTGAGCAGGCATGCATACTGCCAACGGAGACGCCTGTGATGCCGGTGCGCGAGGGGTCTAAGGCGTCTCGAGACGTCTCCAAACGAATTTACTTTCAGGTGAGCACTGAACAAGCATGTGTACCACCAAGGGAGAATACGAGTCAACAAGCATGCGTATCTACCGCCAACGGAGACGCCTGTGATGCCGATGCGCGAGGGTACCACCGAGGGTACCACCGAGGGTACCACCATGGAACCAGCCATAGAACCATGTTGATGCTATCACGCAATGCACAACACATGCATGGGACGCCAAGCTAGTGCACAAGAATGATATGGAAGTAAGCTGCATGCGTGCGCACCACCAAGGGAGACGCCGGTGATGCCGATGCGCGAGGGGTCGATGGTATCCGTGTGAGCGGCTGTGAGATAGTCCATGAGGCGCAGCACATCCCACACCTGCATGGAAGGGAGGGGAAAGAGGGGAGGCGGGTAAGGGATAGCGATGTGCCGAAAAGGCAAGAGTGGGAGGGCGTCGGTCGATGGTGTCTGTGTGAGCGGACGTGAGGTAGTCCAGCAGGCGAAGCACATCCCATACCTGGATGGGGGGGGGGAAGGGGGAGGAGTGAGGTGGTGAGTGAGAGGAACCTCACAGGTAGGTGAGAGTGGGTCGATGGTGTCCGTGTGAGCGGACGTGAGATAGTCCAGCAGGCGCAGCACGTCCCACACCTGGATAGATGGGCGGGCGGGAGGGAGGGGGAGTAAGGTGGTGAGGGAGAGGAACAGGACAGGAACAGGACAGGAACAGGACAGGAACAGGACAGGAACAGGACAGGAACAGGACAGGAACAGGACAGGCACAGGACAGGCACAGGACAGGCACAGGACAGGCACAGGACAGGCACAGGACAGGCACAGGACAGGCACAGGACAGGCACAGGACAGGCACAGGACAGGCACAGGACAGGCACAGGACAGGCACAGGACAGGCACGTGGGTGAGAGTGTGAGAGTGGGTCAGTGTGGGTGCAGCACGTCCATGACACTACCCCCTCCCTTCCATGACAGATATTGGGTATCCTTTGAGTCGACTCAAAAGTCACCCCGCACCAACACCGACCCACTGTCATGAAGGAAGAAAAAAAAAGGAGTCTACAGCAGCATGCATATGCGGCACCTGAACGGGATCAACAAAGCACCACCTGATAAGCAGCGATAAAACACCTGAAAAGTCACCTGAAAGGAAGCTGGAAAGTACCGGATCGAAGACGAACGGCATCTCTTGGCCTGTCCTCCACGCCCTGACCAACGCCTGGCAGTGTGGGGTGATGAGGGAAGGAGAGAAGAGCAAGAGATGAAGGAGGAAGGGAAGAAGGTAGAAGCAGGCAAGTACCGGATCAAGGAGGAATGGCATCTCTTGGGTTGTCTTCCACGCCCTCACCAATGCCTGGCAGTGCGGGGTGATGGGGGAAGGAGAGAGAGGCAAGAGATGAAGGAGGAAGGGAAGGGGGAAGAAGCAGGCAAGTACCGGATCCATCCAAGGGGAATGGCATCTCTTGGCCTGTGTTCCACGCCCTAAGCAATGCCTGGGAGTGAGGGAGGGGTGATGAGGGAAGGAGAGAGACACAAGAGGTGAAGAGGGATGGGGGTGGAAACGATTTTTGAGTCGACTCAGAATTTTTCTTCACTCTCTGACCAGTGCCTGGCAATAAGGGGTGGCGGATGAAGGAGAGAGACACAAGAGGCGAAGGAGGAAGGGATGAGAGTTGAACGGATAACACACTAGTTAAAGGTTTGACAGGCGAGTGTCATAGTCTTGAAGGAGGACGCTTGGAATTAGAGACAGAGTTTCAGAGAGAATGAAAGGACCGTTCAAGAGAATGTCTCAGATGAGAAACCGTGGGGGAAGGAATGGGGGAAGGAAGGGGAGGAGGGAGACTGGAGAGTCAAACTAGGAGGGAGGTGGAGAGAAAGGGGAAACGCGCGTTTAACATACATCGGAGTATGCAGAAGGAGAGGAGGCACGAGCACCATGGTAGCGAAGGTCACATGTGATGGCGATGAGATTGAGACTCGCCAGCTCCTGCATGCAGAGGGGTGGAAAGCGGTGAAAAGAGGTGAGGCACGTGCGCCATGGAAGCGAAGGTCACGTGTGACGGCGATGAGATTGAGACTCGCCAGCTCCTCCCATGGGGACGAACTGGGGAAAGTGGGGGAAAAGTGGGAAGAAAGTAGGAAGGGGAGGAAAGAGCAAGAGCAAGTGGCATGGCAAGGAAGCACGGGCGCCCTGGTAGCGAAGGTCAGATGTGATGGCGATGAGATCGAGACATGCCAGCTCCTGCCATTCTTTGAAGAGAGAGGTGGGAAAAGGCCGGGTGGGGGGGGAGGGGAGGGAGAGGGCATGATATGGAAGCAGGAGAGTCGAAAAAGGCACGGTAGCCATGGAAGCGAATGCCACATGTGATGGCGATGAGATTGAGGTACGCCAGCTCCTGGAATCAGAGGGAAGACAAGGGGTGAAAGGGGAGAAAGGGGGGTGGCGAGACGGAGGAAGCAGCATGGCCTCGAAGCATGTCACCGAATCTAATGGTGAGTGCATCATATTCTGGACATTTGCTAATTGAGGTGTAGTAGTGCTGTAGCAATTACTATTCAAGCTATAAAGGGGGGGTAGTTGGGTATTGGGAGAAGCGAAGGGTTGGTGACATTGGGGGGCGCAGGGCGCTGCGGGAGCAATTCCAGGGACATTGGGAGACAGGAAATCTGGCGAGGGCCAATCCAAGGCCTAGGCGGCTCGGGCTCAACCCATCACGCTGAGAATTGCGCGACTGGGTAGCAATGCACAAGAAGCCTAGCCTAGCAAAGCAATCTTGTTCTCTCGACTTGTTTACCTATCATAGCGGATTTCTGTTACCGTACTCAAGCTATCGCAGCTAGGTGACTAAGCCGCTCTTGGTAGCCATCCTGTGGGAGCACGTAACTCTCACAAGTCGAGAGAAGTGCGCCGGCGATATGGATCGCCATGAGCTGCGGACGCAGCGTACGTACTCGCGGCGGGAGCGCTCTCCGTCGCGTATGAGGCGCTCAAAGGAGCGCGGAAGGTCGCCAACGCGCTCGCCGCGGAGGGCAGCGTATCGTGCGGATCCGGTGACGCCAACGGGCGTGCGAGGAGAGGGAAGCGGGGAGGATCTGCGCGTCAGATCGGAGCCTTGGAGGCGACCCGCAACGAGCAATCCGTGGAACCTGGCGGGAGGCCAGCACGGACTGGAGGAAGGGTATCACGATGGAGACGTGGAGATGGAATCGACGGGCGAGCTCGATGATGAAGAAGAGGGGGAAGAGCCCCCGCTTGTTCCTGGTCGCGGGAGACGAGGCATCGCTGGCGGGGAAGGATTTCCTGCTGAGCAAGGCGGCGGAAGACGTGGCGACGCCGGCGACGAAGATTCCCCCACTGCGCGGGGCGGCGGAAGGCGTGGCAACGCCGGCGACGAAGAGTCCCCCACTGCGCAGGGCGGCAGAAGGCGCGGCGTTACCGACGACGAGGGATCCCCCACTGCGCGGGGCGGCGGAAGGCGCGGCGTTACCGACGACGAGGGATCCCCCACTGCGCGGGGCGGCGGAAGGCGCGGCGTTACCGACGACGAGGGATCCCCCACTGCGCGGGGCGGCGGAAGGCGCGGCGACGCCAGCGACGAAGATTCCCCCACTGCGCGGGGCGGTGGAAGACGCGGTGACGCCGGCCACAACGGGTCACCCAGTGCGCGGGAAGAAGGGAAGCAGGGGAGCAACAAGAGTGATGAGGAAGAGCGGATCCGCCGTGGAAAAGCGCGAGAGGAAGGCGAAGAACACCGGGAAAGAGAGCTCTCACCTGCAGGACCACGCGGAGGAGTACGGCGAGGGAGCGGCAGAGGAGAGGAGTGCCGATCGAAGGCGCGCCAAGGAGGCGGGACAAGTCAAGGGGCACCGGTGGGAGTCTTCCACTCACCTGAACCAAGGCCAGGGTATGACCGCCGACGACG